GTCTGATTCCCGGAAGTCGCCATGGTGGCACGATTCTTTATCCACACAGATTAGGCATGCATTATCCAGTTTTTACTTTCGTTTTTAACTGAATTCATGGATTTAACCTATACTTCTGTTTTATTTTACATTGTTGACATGTGCATGCTTGGCACAAATTTTCTATCATGTCTTTACTGTGATTTTATTCTTTTCTCCCACTGATGGAACCGGTTGTCGGTTGTTCATAGGTTGTTTTTCTACAGACCGGGGTTTGTCCAGTGATTGAGACTAGCTCTTTCTAACGGACCCAACTGAATAGGTTTATCCTTCCCTACCCACCTGAAGACGGAGATAGATCCAGTCTCCGAAACGTCGTGGTCTTTTGTCTTTTACATACCAGACGATGGATAAGTCCAAAAGAAGTACAGTATACACCATCGTCAGAATCCTTTCAAGTCTATCTCAGTCCACCACCAGTTTCTATCTTGAGTGAGATGAATCCAATCCACATGATCCCAGCCTATTTCTTTAAAATTAATTTTAATATTATCCTTCCATTCATGCCTACATCTTCTAAGTAGTCTCTTTCATTCAGATTTTCCTACTGAAGCTTTGTGTGCATTCCTCTTCTTCTCTTATGCATGCTGCATGTACCTCTCATTTCACTCTCCTTGAATTGGTCATCCTAATAACATTTGGTAAGGAGTACAAACTATGAAGCTTCTCATTAAGCAATTTCCCCCCGAATGAGATTAATGTGGGAAATTTATATTTTTACCCAAGAAAACTATACAAATTTTGATTTTATGAAGATGAAATTTGCTAGATTAAATTTGTCTAATGTTCAGTATGTGCTATAAATAAGCACACAATATCATCTCAAGAAATTATGCTTTGTTCATATCTTCATACTGACAGCTATATTTTTTGGTGAACATTAATTGTATCATGGTAATGAATTGGGCAATTTGGAAAGTAGCTATGAGTCTGGTGGAATTAAAAATGACAGCTAAAATTATTATGAAAAATTTAGGAATTATCAAAATGTCTAACTACTGTTTCTGTATATGATATAAACTCCGTCCTAAGCGCAACAATTTATTGACACATAGTAAAGATAAGCAGCGGCACGCACACAGGGAGCCTACACAGAATAACACCTGTACAGTGCTGAAAACAAGAAGTAGCCGCTGCAGCACTGCAGACATAGGGTGAGTAACCCCGAGAATTTAAAATTTTAAAATTTGGAAAAAATTTTAAAGGAATTTTTTAAAATTCGAACTGAAGATTTTAAAAGTGCCAGTTCATGAAAGTCAAAATTGACGTGTATAGGTAACAAAGATAATGTATGAATCAGACAAATATCAGCGAAGTAGATTCTGTTAGCAACGATGAAGGGAACAATTGGGAAGACTGTGTTTTTAAATTTTAAACTAAGTACAGTGTAACAGCTACGTGAGTGCATACACCTGATGATGGCCGAATCATGTAGTGTAGAAGAAAGCAAGACGAAAGACCTACAATAAATTGTTGCACTTAGGATGGAGTTTATATCATATATCGTATAGAGTGAAACAGGATGCTTAAATATAATATTGTACTGTTTCTGTAATTTAAAGTTCAATTTTCTTACAGACCCAAAGCATCATCTTACTGGCAACTTACCCTACTTATTTAAGGTAAAACATTTAAATTAACGTGTATGTATTGTTTTCTCTGATGGTGGTAGTGCCTTAGTAATCTGCAGGGCTGAGTGAACTGGTGTGGAAAGGGGATAAATCAGATGATCTTCTGATTGCAGGGAAGGTGTTTGTGTCAGCAGATTACTGCCAGTTGGAGTTACGTTTACTGGCCCATCTGGCAAAGGATTCCATTTTGTGTTCAGTTCTTAACTCAGGCAGTGATGTGTTTCGTAGAGTTTCTGCCATTTGGAATCAAATTTCAGAAACAGATGTAAGAATACTAATTTCACATTTATGATGGTATTCCTAGATATGATAGATGTGCTCTTAGATTGCAATAAGAGGTCAGTTATGGTTATGAACATATAACTTTTCTGCTAATTCCTGGCGAAGAAACAGGTAGAAACTAAAGGCCATTTACGAGATAAGGAGAAATACAGCAGGCACTGAAATCTGTGTTTGATGTGTTATTAATGGGCCAAAATTGATGGTAACAATTTTTTCTTCATAAATTTAAGCTCACATATTGAATTGGCATTTCTTTCATAATTTTCATATGTTTATTAAATACAATTTGTTTTCATGTTAGCTTACTTGTTTGCATCTGTGCCTTATGCATCCAGGTCTTCGAGTATCCTGCCCCCTGCTCATCTGGCTAGGGTAAAGATTGGTATCAAGATGTTAAATGAATGCACCTATTAGGTTCTATTTCAATTTTGTCCCTCAATATTAGGATGATAGTGGCTGACAGAGGACACCTTCAGCTTAATGTGGGACCCACACTGCACTGGTGGACTTGTATTACCAGCACACAGATTCACATTTTCTTTAACTTTGTTAGAGGTAAAGGCCTGCAACTCACAGGACTGTCGTGGAGGTATTCGACCCAGCCTCCAATAACAGTTTTTTATATACACACAAAATATAGAATACTCCAAGTTGTCCGTGGGAACGCAACAAAATCACAGACACCAATGACTGACTCGATGATGTAAAGCATCAATCGAAGAACTTTATTCCTGTTTTATACTTTTGTTTTATATATCTAATTTATTGTATTTTTATGTTAAGTATTTTAATATAATTAATATTATTGTATCCAGTTTTATTAGTACTGCAGTTCAGTGGTGTATATATGTTAGCCATGCATTTGCCTGATGATGGCTATTAATAGCCGAAACATGTAGCAGGGCCAAAACTCGGCACTGACCTTGATATAGTTGTGTTGTGACAGTTTTAATAAAGAAGTTGTATGCCATATTTTAGGTGACGACTGAACAGCGTCAGTGGGCAAAACAAGTGTGCTATGGAATGATCTACGGAATGGGAGCAAAGGCTCTTGGGGAACAACTGCAGGTGGAAGAGAGGGAAGCAGCAGTCTTCATGGATTCATTCAAGAATGCATATCCAGGTATGACCTCTGTGGCATTGTGTAGTCTTTGCTATGATAAAATATGCCATAGTTATATAATAAAACAGAAAATTTGCATATTATACTGAATAATTCATTTGGCAAAACATCTCTACATATCATTGAGATTGTTGTTGTTGTTGTTGTTGTTGTTGTCATTGGAGAGGGTGGGTTTCCCCATGCACTTAGACCAGATATTGGTCCATTGTGCGTCCCCCTGTGATATTCTACCAGTCTCTATTCCCTACCAGTACTGGTGCGTACCATCAGTCCCGACTCAGCCAGCGAGTTCAGCCTCTACTGGCTCAGCGGTATCTCGATGCTTCCCCCATCTACCAGAGGCGTTAGAGACTACTGTTGGCCAGGAAATGTCCTGAATTTCGCTTAGAGGTCCCCTTGGGACATGAGGTTCTTTTACGTGCCGTAAAGCTACGACATGGGACCCACGGCTTAAAGTCCCTCCTGGAGGACTTGTTCCCTGAATTTTTCCGCCCTTAAAAATTCCACGACCTCCGCCGGGTTTGATCCTGCGTACCTTGAGTCACGAGGTGGGAACATTACCCCTAAACTACGGAGGCCGCTTATCATTGAGATTCTTCAGTTTTTAGATGTAACAATTTACTTTTACTCTTACTAAGCTGAATTTGCTATCTGGTGTACAAATGAATTACAGAATGCATAATCAGAAGTTGAATCAGACAAAAAATATGAAAGTAGGGTAGCAATTGATTGTCTAGAACTAAGACAGTCATAGTATTAAATTTCTTTTGGAAACCATGATAAAATATATGAAGCTTGAAAGGGGCAGACAAAGAAGCCAGTGCTATATTTATTGCTTACTTACACACAGAACTACAAATACATTTTACCCTACAAAGAGAATTTATCTTCTTCCCCTTTGGCAGCAACTAATGAACAAAGAAGAGATAATCAACATTAAATATAAAAGTGTCAATTAAAGAGAAAGGTAAAAGAGTAAAAAACATGGAGTGCTTTTCTATGATTGCACTATGGGTGATTTGGTCAAGTAAGGCATTCATATCTCACAAAGTTAGAACTTTCTATATTTGCTTTGGAATCTGCATTACACAGTAGAGCCCCTCTGCTTGCCATCACATCCTTTCCTATTTGAGAATAAAGGGAATTATCTTGTTCCGTGTGTCCTTGAATTTCTGAAGTGAATTCCTTTACCACTAGCAGATGGACAAAGACCAGAGATGTCAAAAATCTTAACTGAAGGCTTTCAGGAAAGCAATTTAAAATGTTAATAAAAACATAATATCCAGTAACATATTAATATTTGATCTCTTCCATTTAAAATACCAGTGCATGCTGCTGTCGGCCCATAATTTTCCAAATATTCAAATTCTAAAAAGATTTTACAGTGTTAGAAGGGCAGGACTCTTTTAATTCTATTGCATTTGATGGAGCAGGACATTAAGTTTTCCTGTTTTATCACATTAGGAAGAGTAAAGGATTTAACAGCTACCTTAACAATTTTGTCACAGCCAAATTTGTTGGGCAAATGTACATACATCAAAGTAGAAACATCAGTGGTTAACAAGAATTTCAAGGAAGAAATTGCATGGCTTGAGTCTGTACAATGAGTCTTAACAAGTACTATAAATTAATAATTATACAGTTAATGATCTGTTAATTATATACCCTGTAGTCTTCACAGAATATTGTTAGGATGATCAAATCAAGGAAGATGAGATGGCCAGGGCATTTAGTATGCATGGGCAATATAATAATTGTATTCAGAATTTCAATTGGGAAACCTGAAGATAGAGAACATGTGGGAGACAGGTTTTTGGGGAGGAGAATATTAAAATGGGTTTTGAAAAAATAAGATCTGAGGATGTGGACTAGATATGTCTGTGATTGAATAGGGTTCAGTGGCAGGATCTTGTGAATACAGTAATGAACCTTCAGATTCCATAAAAGGGGGGAAATTTCTTCGTTAGCTGAACAACTATTAACTTCTCAAGGAGGACTCTACCCTGAAGAAATAGTGATTCCTATGCTGTATCTCCAGTTGTACCAATACAGTGTAGACACAGACTGATGTACATACAGATATGATGATCCTACAAGCGTAGCATTCTGTATCAAATAAGGAATATAGGCCAAAATAGCAAATAAATGTAATTTGCATTTGTAATAAGAAGCTGCCTTTGAAGATGTGTATATGTTTGCAAAAGAACAATAGCAAGAATTATCAACATGTTCTTGAATGCTCACATAAGATAAAGATAAAGATATGTTTCTATGTCAGGTGTGAAGCAGTTCTTGCTGGATACAGTAGCCCACTGTCGTAAGAAAGGATATGCAGAGACACTTTTTGGTCGGAGAAGGTACCTGCCAACCATACACAGTCCAAATGCAGCTATCAGAGGTCAGTGGGCATTTCTACAACAGCATTTGAACATTTGTTTACATTTATGTCAAAATATCCACAAAATGTAATGAAATTTCTTAAAATCTTCTGACTTCCACCGGAACTGTTTGGGCTTTAATTTTTAATAGTTAAATACATTAATTTAATGGACATATTTTTCTTGTACTCATATATATACAGGGTGTCCCAGGAGGAATGTGCCAAACTTCGGGAGGGTGTTCCTTATGTTAAAGTATGCTGATATAACCCAAAACACCTATGTCCAAAGTTGAACGGTTACGGAGATAATGGCCAGAGAAGTGTCAAACTTTGACCGGGGTTACACACTTGTTGATTACAAAATAGATATTAAAACTGGCAGGAATATGTGGATTCTGTAATGTTAATAATGTACGTAACATCAAACCAACTTGTGAGTGACGGAAAGCCATAAAATTGAAGTACAAAATACTCGCTCGCCATGTCATAATTGTCCTTAGGTTTCCAAGCAGTATACATAACACATGACTGGCGTGCGATGACGTAATATGGCTGCGCTATGAGCCGACCACATAACTCTTATTATACCTACATTCACGGATAATCTCTTTTGGAATTTCGTTTCCATTATCTCATGTGGATTATTATGGGACCACGTATGCACATTTCGTAAATTATTTAC